GATGGCCCAGTTGCCCCTAACTGCCCTCCCCTGCCAGCCTGGTTACCCCTAACTGTCCTCCCCTGCTGGCCTGGTTTACCCCAACTGCCCTCCTCTACTGGCCTTGTCACCCCTTGCTCTCCCTCCCTACCATCCTGGTTGCCCACAACTGCCCTCCCCTGCAGGCCATCTTGTGACCACGTGGGTGTGGCCATCTTGTGCGAGGGCATGATGGTCAATTTGCATGTCACCTCTTTATTATATAGGATGATGTCATTTAAAAATATATTCCAAATTTGAGGACCACTGAACCGGAGTAAATGGAAAAAACAAAAATAGAAAAAACAAACAGAAAAAAAATACCTTTGTTCGGAGGTCTGGGTGGTCAATTATTTTTTCTAAACTAGCTATCAAATTATTTGAAGAAATTGAGAATTCCACTGTTTCTTCATGCCTATAGAATATTTTTTATTTTTAAAAAATGTTAAGCCTTTCTACCTTTAATATGCATTAACAGACTTGTTCTCCACTGCACATCATATGTGATGGCTTACAGATCAAATGAGATAATTACATGTAAAAGCACTTAATAGAGGACCTGAGCCAGTAAGTGTTTGTTATTTTTTCATCGAACCCTTGCCTGCTCATATCCATATACACATTGTTCTCGGAAAGGTCATGGAGAAGAACAGAGCCACCTGCTTCTTGTCTTTTCAAGTTTACATTTCCTACTAGAAGAAGAATTAATAGCTATCAATCTCATTTTGAGTCTTAGGGTTCATTCTTGTACAGCAACATCTTTCCTGAGGATATGATGGGCTCCACCCTATAAGGGGTGAAATCATACAGGCCCTGATGAAAACACGTGGAGATACTTAGATTTACTGACACCCATTGTAAGACAGCAGGACTTCAAACTGGGCCTCAACTCTGCCCCTTGCATTTAAGGACAATTATTTATATATGGTTCGCCCTTTGTAGTCTTCTCTGTAGATAAAGATGATTAGACCTGAATGGCTTATGAGAGACAAAACAAGCCCAGTGCCTTCTAGTAATTGCTTTTTTCTAGGCACCACATTCGTAGGAAGTATTCTGTATTGTTCTAGTGGAATTTCTAAGCAGAAGTAATAATCTACAATGACTTTTAAGATTCTGTATGTCAAAATAAGTTTAGTACCTTTAGAGAAAATTTAATTCATTGTTAAGAAGAAAAAAAAAGTCCTATGCTAGGGAGAGTCAATACAAACTGGGCAGGAGGCCCAGTCCTTTAAAGCTAACTGGATATAATTAACAATCTACCAGGATAAATACATTCTCTTGGGAGAGAATACAAAGGTCTATAATTTATTAGCTGAAAACAACTTAAACTTTATTTTGTCTTGGATATAATATATATGTAGCTTCACTGGAGTGAAGCTGAAAAGCAAGAAAAGTTTGCAACAATTAGCATTTTCACTGCTCTATTCCATACCTCTGAAAGAGTACCTAGTAGATTGTAAATATTCAATGTTAGGACTATAAAGAGCCACCCTGGAATTTATCTCTTGGTCTCTTAGTTACCCAATATAAAAAGAGAAAGGCACAAGTTGAATTTGGTTTCTATTTACATGATGTAATTAAGTGTACATGGATCAGAGAGTAAATTAGTGATTTTCTAAATTCTTTTTTTTTTTTTTTACAGAAAGAAGCCAGAACCTATTATTAACGTTTTGAGAACACAACGTAACAATCTTTACCATTTTACTACTTCCTTGAATAGGTAAGCCTCATCACAATTGTGAAAAATAACTGTTAACAATATATTTTTAAATATCTTCTTTAAATGAATATAAATTCATTTTGATAAGGGAGAAATAACATGAATTCTACAGTGAATACAATTAGGATCATTAAAACAACACTTAATGTTTTGAATGATTTAATAGTAAACAGATGAAAAGACCTTTTTCTGAAATGAGGATTAAACATAGTCATACTGCTATGACTACCAATACCAGTAGTATTTTATCAACATTTACTATGTGCCAGACTTGGTCCTATGTGACTTACTTTGCATAACTTAAATCATTTATTTCTTACAACAAACAACCCTGTGAGTAAATAACAGGGATCATCCCCATTTTATAAATTAGAGGCATGAGACAAGAGAGAGAGGAGGCAGGCACGTATAATTCACCCAAGGTGGTATACTGGTATACTGGGAGCATCCGACACTGTAAAGAACACCAACCCCAGCTGCTATTGTAGGAGTAGTTTCATGTTGTGACAGAAAAGTCTAGCAATAAGGTCCACCTATGTTTTGAGTTGGTTCCATTTGAATTTATAAAAGAAAAAAATAATGAATTTACTAAAAAAGCCACAGTAGGCAAACATTTATTTCAGGTTTGTATTTGTTACTTTATAGTTATTATATGAGTAAATAAAGAAATGTATACACTTAGCTCAGTTTACAAGCAGAAATAATATTTTTCTTTATTTTCCATCTTTCTTTAAACTCAAAATTCCTATAATAAAAGGAGCATAATATTACAGAAAGAATACAAATGAATGATTTTTTTATTCTAGGAAATAAATAATGCATTTTAATCTAATTTCTTTTTATTAGAGGTACTGAATATCCCACCTTAAATTGGCCACAGCAATATATGCTGTACTGCTTTTATTTCTTTATTATTTTATTTTTAATCAAGAAAAATACAAAGGTTTCAAAGAGAAATATAGAAAATTTATAATAAATAACCTAAGTATAAGTCCCATGGATTAAGCCAATGCTAACAGTCAGCTTTGTTCAAATCTTTTTTAAGTTTATAATTTCATTACAGTCGATACACACTATTATATTAGTTTCAGGTATGCAACACAGTGATTCGATATTTATATACCTTATGGAGTGATCACCACATATGATGTTCAAATCTTTTCTAAAAAAATAAACCATCACCAAAAGAGCAAAAACTCTCCCTGCTCCCTTTCCTTTCTTCCTAAAAGGTGCACTGTCTTGAAGATGACGTAACCTTCTCTCTGTGTGTTCGATACTTGAATGACATGTGCATGAAACAATATGCCATATGATTGTTTACATCTTAAGAGTTTACATAAATGGCATCATACTCAGATATTCTTTTGCAGCTTGCCTTCACCTAACATTATATTGAGAGCTCCATCCATTTTGATACAGGAAGATCTGGTTGATTCATTCTGTCAGCAAGTTGGTTCACTTTAATGTTTCAATCATCTGGTGCATAATACTAATTTAATATTACTTTTAAATGATGTTCAGCATTTTGAAGGTGGTTTAAGCATGGCTATCAAAGCATGTTCAGGAATCCAAAGTTCTTAATACATGATGCCATGACAGTTGGGTTTATGTTTCTTTTTTTTTTTTTCTCATTAGAAAAGCCCGCCTTTTTTTATCGGCTATAATGATCTTGCTAATTAATGGGACTCACGATTCACTGATTTTGTCATAACACAATAACTGAAATATGATTTATTTCCCCATAGGTGAAATATTGACTATTCCTAAAAACAAAATACTACCTTTGAAATTAAAAGATACTTAAAAGAAAAAGTCTTCTTTGCCCCATGTTAATAGCTTATATTCTTTTCAAAAATCATGGGAGAAAGAACCTTTTTTAAAAAAATGATTTTTCCTAATTTTCTCAAACACACTTAATTCAGAATTTACTTAAGGTAAAATAAATGTCAATAAACAGTAGTAATATTTATAGATGTAGAATCTTTCATATATTTGTAGGGGAGGAAGAAGAGATAAACTAACGTTTGCTGGGCAAATATGAGTAAGTGGAAAGTATTATGTAAGCCTCACAGGTCAGAAGTGCATGGCAATTTTGCAGATGGGGAAATTGAGGCCCAAATATGTCTGGTAAGTTACTCAAGATCAGATACTAATTGCAGAGCCTGAAGTCAAACTCATTGCTCTCAGACTCCAATGCTACAATGCCGACCAGAAAAGAATTGGGAGCACCTAACCTATTTGACACGAAACTATCAGTTTAATTCATTCCACCAAAATTTATTTGGATTCTTTTAAGTAGGTTGAGAAGGCTGATGTTAGAAAAAACAAAGAAAACTCAATATCTACCTACAGTGAGAAAACAGGCCATTGGGAAGAGCAGTGATTCATTCAGTGATACCATAAATGTGACTATTTCATTAGATACCTCTATTTTGCTTTGTTATCTTGACATCGTTTAGTTTTGCAATCACTGAACCGTGCCAATTAGATTAAATTGAATGGGATAACAGGAATGAAAATGCTTTATAAAAGTCTTTGCAGTTATTTGCTAATGTTACTCATTATTCTGTAAAATTTAGAATTAAAAATTTCAAACCTAATACATTTAACTCTAAATGTAAAAAGTTGATATATCATCATCTTTTGGACACAGAAGCCCCCTGTAAACATTACAGAGTAGTAAACAGCCCTGACAATTGGTTTCATTCCACTGTCTATTAGAGACACATTATTTAACTTGCTTAAGCTTCATAGCACCAAGATCATGCCTGTCCAGAATTGGCTGTTTCTCATGATCTCTGCATATATCATTGGAATCCACTCTCTCACCTTGACTCCTGCAGTAGCCTCCCGTGCTTACTCTTTCTGACCTCTCATCTGTTGTTCACTTAGTGTGGCCTTTAATAGAACTTAATCCATTGATAGGACTCTTTTTTTTTAGATTGTTTTATTGCTTAAAGTATTACAAAGAGTTTTATATATGTCTCCTTTTTTTTCCTCCCCTTGACCTTCCCCTAGCCTCCCAGTGTCTTGTGTCCATTGGTTATGCTTATATGCATGCATACAAGTCCTTCGGTTGATCTCTTACCCACCCCCCAACCACTGATGGGACTCTTGTTCTGCCCATAACAGTCAGAATCATTCCCACACTCATACTGTGATCCAGCAAGATGCTATATAACCCATCTTCTACCTCCCTGATATCATCTCAATATTCTCTCCTCCCACTGAGAGGAGAGACTGTGTGACATTCTGAGCTGTGTCTAGAGTAGTGTCTTTGTCTTGATGGACCCTCACTTGTTGAAGGACTGAATGAGTATGCAAGGGTTAATCTGGAATGATGCTCAGCACACAGTATCCTTAATGCACATCAGTGATGGTTGTTGCCCTTTTGAAGGTTCCTTCAGTTTGTCTTCATGGAGTGCAGCAATTCTGAAATGCTAACAAGCTTTCATGGATGATTTTGACACGTCATTTTACAGCATTACGACAAAACTTTATTCTGCTAATATGTAATCTAGTACCAAAACAAAGAGACAAATTAGGGACAAATCAGAATGAGAAAACCATTTTAAAAGATCAAAAATATTTATTTTATTATTCCATGCAGGTCTTTTATCTATACAATAAGATTTGGTACACCCTGACATTGCTTAGATTTTGCTTTATTTTCAGAATAGATATATATTTTTCATCATTTATAGATGGCGAAGTCTAGCCTTTAGACAATTTTCTATAAAATAGGATGATTTTTTGTTTTATTTTTTTAATATTCCTTAGGAGCAGCACTGGATGAGTGTTTACATTGTTGAGAACATTTGGCAAGAGAAAGACAAACAGTAGGATCACAGTACCCCAATGACTAAGGAAAAGAGAAAGAAAATGTATTGTCACCCTGCTCTCCGAAAATAAAATACCTTGATTTGTGCTGATTACTGTCTCATCAGCATTCAGCTCTGGTCCATAGCACTCTATGTGAACAATTTTAAAGGCACATTTAACATTCTAAAAATAGATTCTATTGGTAAATTAGAATGTCAGATGGCCCCTTTATGAAAGGCTACCCTAATCTGTGCTGTCAGTCCACAGGTATATGCAGGCCTCAGACTGTTCTGGCTCTTGGTGAGCAAGAACCTGTTCCAGGGGTGAGGTTCTGAAGAGGGGTGTCTCATGGTTAACTAGAGACAGAAAGAGGGAGAATTGCCCACATACTCCAGCAGGAGTTAAAATAACAATAACAGTCCTCCTACTTAACAGGCTGACTCAGAAGCACATTCTACTGACTTTTCGGCAGATCCGAGCAGATTGTTTGGGCTGCAATTCTGCAGGCAGAGGTGGGCACCACCTGCTGCAAAGGCTGTAGTTCTTGTTAGGAGGGTGCTGTTAGTACGTCTTGCCTTTTAACAGTTGGGCCAAATGGAGATAGGAAAAGACAAAAACTGGGTGTGGATGAGTGCTGCCTTGTTCTAATACCTAGAATAACAGAATGGTATTCTAGGAATGGATATTATGCGTTTAGTTCTTTTACTGGCCATGAGTGTAAATCACTTACTGTGGGAGGTCTGGTAAGTTAAATCTCGCTGGATGTTTGCCTTCAGAAAATTCTGTACACCAGTTGTGGCAGCCTTATCTCAGTCAATTAGGAAAGACCTAGAAGCCAATAGAAGTCTGGTTTTTGCTTAAGTAGAAGGAGAAAATCATTATGTGGTTACTGAGTTACCTCATCCTCCAAGGGCTGGGCACTCTTACTCCTTCAGCCCAGCCTCCCGAACATTGACCTGTACCCTTCAGTGGGCTTGGGCGAGCATGCTTTATCCTGATTCTTATAACCCGACTCCTGCATGCTGGCATCATATGGTCTTTCATGTACATCAGATCATTTATTTTTGCTACTTAACATTTTCCTGTAGTACAAAGGTCCGAACGCATTAAAGGCCTTTCAAAACAGGGCTCCAAACAACCATTTCTGGACAACCCCAAACCCCTCCCACTTATTCAACTGCCTTTCCTTCCTTCTGACCACAGCAATTCAAATGTCATTTCTTCTATGAAGGTCTCTTCTCCAGCCCTCAAATGGTATTAATTGTTCCTTTGAGGGGGAAGGGGCTTTCATAGTCTTTTAAACATCCCTAGATGACCAAAAAATCATCTCGGTGTATAATTATTTTCACCTCTGCTTTTGTCCTCAGCTCTGTGAAGTCTTCAAAGGCAAAAGTTCTGTCTTTTCTATATCTGTGCCTCCAGAACCATGTTATTAGATTTGAAAGAAAAAGAATATTTTAAAAAATGTTTATAGTTCATAACAATAATACGTAATGAGGAGATAGGATTGAAAGTGTAAGTGGTAAATGAATGCAGAATTGAGGAGGTGAAAAAGAAATGAGCAGTAGCCTTATGTAGCAGATTTACAAAATAGGTTTTATGGTGGTGGTTTTATTTTTATTATATTTTTGTCATTTCTTCTGTATGTGTGGTTGTTTGTTTTGGATAGGGAAAAGAGACTATGCTTTTACTCAGAAAGTAAGGGGAGGAAGAAGCCGACACCGTGAGACCACAAAGGGATATTTAAGGAAAAGGAGCTTTGGAGGAGGCAGGAAACAATATGTTACAGAGCAAACAGAGAGCCTAATATTAATAAAAATGAGGGCCCCCTATTCCTCCAAAGAAAAGCTATTCATTGGGGATAGTTACTTAAATTGGTTTTATTTAAACCTATTCTATTCGTCTCATCCTTTTAAAAAAATGTCATTATACTTTTCTTCAAAGCAAGTATATAAGTTAGGATTGGCTAGCTGCTAAAACAAATAGATCCAGAAATGTGTTGAAACTTTATTTCTGGCTCATTGAACTGTCTGGATGAGTATGTGGGTTGGGAGGCTGTCTGCCCTCTTCATAGTCAACCAGGGATCCCGAATTCTTCCATTTGTTCCTTCACTTTGTCATTTTCTTCATCCAGCTAGTAGGAGGGCAAAGAGCAAAGAGAAGCACATGGGAGTTGTATAGAGCCAAATTTAGAAGTGAACTTACCACTTCTGTTCACATTTCATTGGTTGGAGCTGAGCCACATGACCACACCCAGTGTGGTCTTCCTGCTATGTGCTCAGGAAGAAGGTGAAAGATTTCGGCAAACTGCTAGCAGTCTCTGTTATACCAAGGCAAAACCCTGTCTACAGAATTAATATATTTGACATTTGGATCAAATAGATCCAGCCCTGGTAGAATAGATACCAATTACACCATAGAGATAGAACTGTAAATTATAATTTCAGTGTCACATTAAAATAGTGAATATATTTGATACATCAGTTTATCAAAATTAATTCTTACAGTAAGACTCAAATAAGATATTTTTTAAAACCTTCTTATAGAAATATGCATTATGTCCAGAAGGATAATAACAAAATAAATTATAGTGCCTAGTACTGCTTACTTTTCTTCAATAACTTCTTGCTAAATGAATCAATCAATTAATTAATAGATGTAGAAAGCTTCATTAAGAAAAAATAAGTATTTGTACTTTCATGAATTTCCAAAATTCATCATAAAAAGACATGAATTAGGATGGTCTAAATTCATTTTGAACTGAAGGATATGCCCTTTTAAAGAAAAATAACATGTAAAGGTGAAATAATGAGCAAAGATTTTGAAAAAACATGATGTTTTGGTGAACTTACGAATATTCATCTGTAGGCCTCACATCATATTTTGCATTTGCTCTCTGTGCTGTTTGTTCAGATGGTGGCAACGTTGCTATTTTTTTTTGGAGGGTAACAGTTCATTTGATTGTTTTATATGTATAGCGTATTGTGTCAGTGTTGAGTCAAAGCCATTCCACCAGCTAAATCTACAAAATCAACTTTGCTGCTATATAAATGTCACAGTTTCAGTTTCCTGTGACTGCAGAATGCTTGGGTTTTTGTGAAAATACTGCATTGCAGTGAGTGTATGATCAACTGTTTTTTTCCTTGAAGGTTAAAACTCCTTTCTTTTTGAGAGTAAGCAGCAATTTAATCAAGTTTTCATGGCATCCAAGAGCATTTTAAAATGAATGTACCCCAATAAAACTGGCCTCTTCTCCAAGTGTATATGAAAAGGCAGTTAGATGCGTCAGCCTGTGGGAACAGAATGGAGAATGAACCTGAGGCTGACTGAGACCTTAAAGCATCTCTGTCAGATCTTTCTTCCTGAGAAGTATAATGACTTACTAGAACCTGCCAATTCCTGCGATTAATTTTTACTCTTTTTTTTCCTCACCCACCCCCTGCACTTTCTTGTAATGAATTTCAAGGACTCCAGTCATACCATGTGCACAGTAATTACTACAGAAGGCAGTTTGATTCTGAGACAGATGAGTCTCTGTAAGAGAAATTTAGAATTTACTAAAGCACATACTTTAGTGAGGGGGTGCGAAGGCTTGAGTCATTTAAAAGCATTTTGAACGGGCGCTAGGAAAGATCCGGTAGTAATCAACCTTGAGTAAGGAGCAGAGGGCAAAACAATCAAAAAGACCCTTTTCCAAGACGAATTGCCGTGGTGCCAGAAAGTTCTTGCTACTGGGAAGCAGTGTGTAAGCCTTTTTGTTTTGGTTGGTGTATTCCTTTGTGGCATATGTTTACAACTGGAGTGGGTCTTATTTTTGGAACCTAAGAATTCTAGAGCAAACTTTTAAAATCAAGAGGAATTGAAACATATATAGCAGCATAAGGTAATATAACACATTACGCATGCACACACACATATAATACATATAAAATATCAATGGATCATTTAATTACACACTGTAGAAGTGTTATATGAATGGAACACGAAGACCAGGAAATTAATTCTTCAGTGAAGCTCTG